AATCTTAGAAAGTGCATATAACTCGGAAAATGTCGCATTGCTACTTGCCGTTGGTAGGTTTCGAATCCGAATTATATCTGGTCATTGACCGCCCTATATCGTTAAAAACAATGATATTATACATTTCGAACTTAAGATAATATTCGTTGTTACTTCAGGTTGTGTGATAGGCCCAGTCCTAATGCTAACTACGTTCGATTACCCTCTATCATAACTATGTGACTTAATATAACTGATAAGAAGTTGGTATTACATTGGAAATGTACATTACGATACGTTGATAATTATATCGTACCTATCCAAAATTTGTTCATACAAATGAAGTCTCTAACCATCGGAAATAAGGTTTATAATGGAGTTAGTGTAGAGCGGTCACCGATGACCGCTTGAGGAACTGTTAAAAACGTATTCAATTTATGTAATTACTGTTTACGTTCTTTTTTCACCATAAGCCGATTTTGTCAATGTATTTTTTGGTAGCTGGTCATAGTATTAAAACGATTCCTAGTCCAAAGTTAACCTATATCAACATGGAATTAGAAACAGCATAAAATTTAAAAGGTTGACAAATATAATAAAATTTTGTACTATAGCCAAATTAACTAAAAATCGCTGGCGAAGAACTCTACTAGTTTCTACTACCCTACAGTTTAGTAGGCTGCGGGACATCGCCGCGATCGCGCACGCTGCTCCTGAGGAAGAACACCTCTGTGTTTCGAAACTAGCAGAGCTTTTCTAAGTATACGCGAGTAACCATGATTTTTAGTTAATTTAGTATGTCTCACGATAGTTATTTATGCAATAACTGACAAAAATTGTATACAGTCCAACGTCTAAATAGATTCATCTCTTGTTATGTTCCGTTTCTCTTTAACAAAGTTGTGTGGGCTTCCTAAAATAGCAGTAACCTCTACCCGTAAATCTTAGATTACGAAGTGATCCGTATCAACTGTTTGGGGAAATTACATATACTACATTATACACTCCGTGTTTGTCTTACAAGTCTAAGTTCGTATCTCTGTACGGTTCCTGGTTTAACTTTTTAGTAGATAAGATGAAAATAGCTTATAATATTAAACTGACAATACCTACAGTAAATTTTTATATTTACTAATGATGTAAAACAGAACAAAATATTTATTTATATACCATTTATATACCAATATACTACAAATCCTCGTGGAGTTCCTCGTCAAACAATTGCTCTCGAGTAAGCTGAAAAACATATTTATTATTTTAGTTTTATTATGGCATACGGTAAAAAAGCAGACGGATCACCTGATGGTAAGCAATCGACGCTGTTCATGGATACCTGAAACACAAAAGTGTTACAAGTGCGTTACCGGCCTTTTGGGAATTGGGAATTTGAGGATTGTGGAGGATTCGGGGTTTGGGGACTATGGGGAGGGACGAGTAATTGGCTCTTCGGTAACCTCACTCACACGACGAAACAACACAAATATTGTTTCACGTCGGTTTTCTGTGAAGCCGTGGCATCACTCCGGTCGAGCATGGCCGGCTGGAATGGGCCGATGATGGCAATGGGCCGGCTAGAAGAAATATAATTATTTTAATCCATTATTTGTCCATTACTGTCTATTACTAGTTTTGTCTAGGTATCTTTTACATCAAAATGTACCCCATGTAATTTAAAGCAACAATTTACCTAAAATAACTATTCACACTCTAAAAAGAATCTTATTTATATGTATATACTGCAAAATTTTGCAAACACTTAATCTTCCGGTAGTGGCTACGTTGAGTGACGTCGACTTAAGATACGTCCGTCCGGCATACGCCGAGCGCTGCGACACGTTCCAAGACTATTTTATCTTTCTATTAAACTACGTAAATAGCTCTTGAGAATAACCGAATATTATTTCTCTAAAGAAGGTTTGAAAATTGAGGTTTTATTTCTTAACATGTTTGATCTAGGTGTCCGCAAATTTGATCCAAAAATCGACTAAAGTAATATGTGATAAAATATCGATTCCTTATCAGATTTCAAGTAACAAGACGGGTGCTGTTAGCATGGCATGTGATTTGTTCTCTATGAGGTTTTAGTTATTGAAAATTGATGTGTTATGTAATGTGTGCACCTTGTCGCTGTTCAGTCGTGGTGTGGTGTAAAGGGCAGATGCCCTTAAAGATTTAAGTGCTTGTTTTATACAATCAGTGCTAATACAAAATAAAATTCATAATTTCTAAAACTTTTTTTGTATAATAACTATCGTGAGACATACTATACTAACTAAGACTCTCAGGTGACTTACGTGAATATACTGAGAAAATCTCTACTAGTTTCGAACCACAGAGTGGTTCTTCCTTATACCAGCAATGTCGCGCATCCTACGCGCGGTAGACTTCGCCACGACCGCGTATGCTGCGCATGTGCTCGTTTTTGATATAAGATAAAATAAATTATACACAAGTTCCAAAGATCTGTTGCCTATTCAACGAGGCAGAAACTACATACGTCTTCAGAATTGTGTCTTTAATATAGCACAGAGCGAAATCTCGTTGTAGTACCCACGACGAACACAAAGATAAAATAAACAGCCAACGAAAATGAACACGCCACTTCATCACGGCCACAGTCGACCCAGAAATTGTGAAACCAAAACGTCACAGTGACTGGTCAATCCCAAAACAACGAGGGCAAACTAAAAATATAATAAAAAAGGAAAACCTTTCTATTTCTGGGCACAATAAAAGCTGTGCGAATAGCTCCATGTATTTGAGGCACTGGACGAAATTAAAATGGTACATTTATTTTGAATCATGTTACATTTTGTTTTCATTTCACCATTTTTGTGCTACCTCCTTCCTGTCGTGTACTTTGTTTAACAATCTTTTTGTGGTGGGTTTTACATCACAAGCATAAAATCTTTTCTTGCCATACTCAAATCATATAAAACACAATTAAGCTACTTCTCATTTTCATTAAGAGTCTGGAGCCAAGGATACTAGGGGACAAAATTTCCTGCGACAAGTATCGCCAGCGACGTTAGGTGAAGTAGCGCGACGTTGCCGGACTTTGGTCAACATGTCTGGCAAGTTCAATGTCACTGTAGATATAAGTTGCGCGTGATCACCGTATATGTTGAGGACATCGGCCAGCCTCGCTCGACACGTCGCATGTCTTGGAACATTTGTCCCCTTTGTATAGAATAATGTGTAATATCTTTATTGTAAACCAATTTAATATTGAGACAGTATATTGAGCTACAAGCTTGCCTTGACTCTCCCTCTGGCCTTACTGTTATAAGTTCGATCTAGTATAAGTCATTAGATGATTCTATCTTCACCTTTAAAAATTATCCATCTTTGGCATTCCCTTTAATAAAACATTTTTAATTTACGATATATTTTGTACGTACAGTAACGTACAAATAAAAAATAAGTATTGGCGATAAGATAGAAAGGTTCTATTGTTTACCTTGAACTCAATAAAGCCTGTGTTGCACATACAATGTCTATTGTATTTATTGTTGAGCGGGATGAAATTATTTACTCTTGTTGAGAGGACAGTCTGAGTGGGAGAGTCAATACGAACAATAACTTAGAAAAAGTATAGTTTGTGTGCTTGCCAGTTTGTGGATTGGACATGTTAGAGATATTGATATTTCGTTAGTTTCGTTTTAAAGTTATATTAATTACGATTTAGTATCTATATACATTGCCTGTCTCGTTGGCTGAGAGGTCGCAAATGTGACTGCCGGATAAGGGGTCTCGGGTTCAATTCCCGGGTCTGGCAAAGTAACACTGAGTTTTTTTTAAATCTCTGTCGAGGTTGACTGACAAGGAATTTGAAATTGTGCCCGGTTTATAGAAATCGGCTCACCCCCTATTACATGGTACACATAACATAAATAGTGAAAAGTGGGTGTTACATTGTACAGTGGCATTAAGTGCCGTAATGTGCACCTCTGCCTAGCTTTTCGAGGATAAAAGGCATGATGTTATGTTATGTGCTAACGTCTGTCAAAGTTAACAATTCTTGACGGTCAAGTCTGTTTCTTTATTTGAAACAATAACTGCTAATAAAATTATTATTTTAAGCATGTTTAAGCCGTACATCATTTTTACGATATGATTTGGACTGCCTCTATATTTGTTTGCATACTAACCTGTTAAATAGGACTATTTTACTGGTTAGTATGGACACACCTCTAGGTGCTTTTTTTTTAATTTTTTTTTTTCGGCCGGAGACGATCTCCGGCCACCGTAAGAGCGGGCCTGCGGACGGCGAGCATGGGTGGCTCCCCGTCCGACCAGAAACAGACCCGAGCGTACGGCGCGTCGCGTTCCGCGCGACCATAGACATGACTCAAAGAGCCATCAGACCATCACAGATGGGGCCCAACACGGCCGATGCCGATTCGGAGTCGCGGAGAACCTAACGGGTAACCGGGGCTCCGGCTCGACGTGCAGGAGAAGGAACGGGGTGGTTTTTAGTCAGTAAGAGTCTGACACTCCCTTCCGCCTCACCCAGGCGGGAGCAGTCATTCGATGATTTT